GGCCCAAACCGAGGCCACCATGTCTGCTGCTGATCTCGCTCGGCTTGCCGACTATGATCGCGACGCCGACCCTCTCCTCTTCTCGGCCAACTGCGGGCAGCTGGTCACGAAAACTGCGGTCCAGGCCAGCCTGCAAGAACGGATCGTGGCGTCCAAGGTCCCCATGGAACATCTTGAACTTGTTGGGGGTGATGTACCCAGTCGTCGGTTATTTGTCCATGTGCTTGCGCTTGCCAAAGCCCTTCGAGCCCCTGGCGGAGCGTGGCGCTCCTTTTCGGTTGCCACGCCAGACGGCCACCACGCTGTCCTTCACGTGGGCGCCGACAAAGCTCCTCGACAAGTTCGCCGCGAGATGCGCACCGAGCGGCTGCTCCAGCTCCTCCAGCAGCACTTCGGCAGGGGCCGGGACTGGACCGCGCTCCGGGCCAAGGGCATCATCAGCTGCAACGCCGCCCCCATCATCGAGGTGGTCCCGCAGGGCTTCCACGAGGCGTCCAAGATTTTCTGGGACCCCCGAGCCTCTCGCCACCTGCCTGGCCTTGAGCGCCAGCGTGCCCTCGACATGTTCCGCGACGCCACCAAGATGGCCGGCGAGGTGGATACCTCCGCCTGGTCTTGCTCCTAGCCCGCGGTGGCTGCCCTGGGAACTCGCCCCGGCCCAGGGCAAGCAGACTTTCGAAGGGCTGCGCATTGCCTCCTGGAACGCTCGAGGGCTCCTCTGCCAGCGCGCGTGCAAGAGGCATGGCAAGATCTCCAGGCTCGCGAAGCTCATGGAGATGCGCATGCTGATCGTGATCCAGGAGACGCACGGCACCCAGGCGAAGCTCCGCGCAATCCTGGACCAGCTACCGCACCACTATCACGTCTTCTTCTCCCCAGGCGACTCGCCTGGCACAGGTGGTTGGCCTTCTTGGTTCCGTGGTATCCGGCCGCCCGCGTTGCAGCGATTGCGGGGCACCTGCGGCCCGCCCTCCACTTCGAGAACATCGCCTCGGGGCGCGTCGCCGCCCTCGCCATCTCCAACACCTCGGCGAACGAGCGCGTCAGCATCATGAACGCGCATAATCATGCTCTCCCGCCGCAGGCGCTGCCTGTCATCAGGGCACGCTGGGCGGGCAGGGCGGCCCGGGCCCGCCAGGGCGCGCGCCGCCGCATTTTCATCGCCACCGGCGACTTCAACATCGCAGACCGGGGGCCTGTCGCACTTGCTCGTCCCACCCCGTCGGCCGCGACGACTTCACCCTCCTCGGCTACCTCATCGGGCTCGTCGCCTTCCAGCGTTGGCTCCACCACTTCATCTGACGACGGCTCAGCAGGGTCTCATGGTAAAACCCCCCAACAGGGTTCCTTGGGGGCGGGGGTCGAAACCTGCATTTTCATGCTCGTCCGCGCGCCGTTCGATCGAACAGCCACTCCGTCTGGAACCGGGGCAACCAGGCATTAGGCTTCTGGCGCAGCCTCCCCCAGCGCGATCTCCTCGAGATCTCGTGCGAGCTGCCCACCCGCTACTCGAAGCATCACCAGACCTGCAGTTTCATCGACCGCGCTTTCGTCTCTCTGCAGAGCCACTACGTCCTGGACACCACGATCGCCTTCGAGATCCGGCAGGAGGCGGCCTCCCTGGCGGACTGGGGGCTGAGTGACCATGCCATCATCCAGCTGAAGCTCCAGCCGCGCGCACCAGCGGCGCCTCGGGATCGCGCCATCCCTTCGGACGCGTTCGCGCCCCCGCGCTTTGCCGGGCATGTCGAGGCGCTGCTCGACCACTCCGACTTCTCGGGCCTGGCCGTGGAGAACCGCTGGAGGGAGGCCAAAGCCCAGATGGTGGAGGCCGTGCGTCTCACACAGAACGAGATGCAGGCCTTCCGATTGGCGATGTCGACGGGGAGGCCACTGAAGGGCGACGGATCTCCACCCGCGCTGTGGCCCGAGCCCTCTGGCGACAAGACTTCCGACTGGCTCAGCGCCTCATCGACGGCACCGCGTTCGGCGCTCACCACTTGCACATCAGTCGGCTGACGGAGGACGGCGCCGAGCCCGCGCCGCAGGTCTTCCAGAGCGACCCCGCTGCCTTCGAGGAGGACTGTCGCCTACTGCATCTCGCCCGGCACGAACGCCAACAGGCTGCCGCCGCCGCGCGCCTCCGCGAGGAGGCTCGCGCCCGGCAGGGAGCGGATGGCCCGTCGGAGTGCCAGCTTCGCAAGATGCAGCGTGCGGCGCAGCGTCGTGCCCTGCTATGGGTACCCCATCGGCGGCAGTTGGTCCTTGCCGGCATCCGCGCCGACGGCGAGGGGCGCCGGGCCTTCATCGAGCGCGACCCTCTCGTGATGCTGGACGCGCTGCGCCACTACTGGCAGCCAATCTTCACGGCTGAGCCGCTTGCGGATGATGCCCAGCTGACGGCGGCCATCGACGCCTACCTCGCCCAGCAACTGCCTGACTACGAGCAGCCGCAACTCGAGGTACCATCACTGCGCGGCCTTCGAGCAGCTCTGCAACGTGTTCGCCCCGCGGCACCTTGCCCCGATCGGCTCCGAGCGCGGGCATGGCTGGCGGACGATCGCCCCGCCGAGATCTTGCACGACCTCATGCTTGGCCTCTTCCGTGGCGCCCCCGCGCCATGGGGTTTCAACTTCTCGGACATGGCCTTCACCCCGAAGGGCGCGGAGATGGACGACGTGATGGAGACGATCCGAGCGGCAGAGAAGGTGCGGCCGCTCAGCCTGAAGAGCTGCGACGCGAAAGCTGTCGCGGCTGCCGCGAACCAGATGCTGGCGCCTCTGACCGCCTCGCGCGCCCATGCTAGCCAGCTTGGGTTCATTCGTGGCCGCAGCTTCCTGATGCACGTGGTGCGTCAGGATGCGCGGGCGCGTGCATGCAGCCACCATCCATCCTTTCTCCTTCTCTTCGTCTCCTTCGACCTCCGCGCTGCCTTTCCCTCGCTCTCCCAGCTCGTTCTTCATCGCGTGCTTGCTGGCCATCGCCTCCCGCAGGGGTACCTGAACGTTGCTCGATCGTTGTATTCTGGGGCTCTCGCCCACTCCCGCTGTGGAGCGGCCAGGGCCCCCGTCCCCCTAGTGACCTCAGGTGTTGCCCAGGGCTGCCCGCTCTCCGGGACCATCTGGGCCCTCTGCATGGACCCTTTTCTGCGGGACATGGCTTCCTCTCTGGGCTCTGCGATGGCCCGAAATATGTGCCCCGCCCCCGAACGGTGGTGCCCTGGGCTAGAACCTGAGTGCGGAGCGACGGCTGACGACGTGGGCGCCGCCCTCCCTTCGATTCGCCTCCTCCCTCTCCTCAGGCCCGCGTTCGTCGCCGCCCGCCGTCTCGCATGGCTGGTCTTGCAGCCCTCACACTTGTGCCAGAATGGGGAGACTTCCACGTTAAAGGCGCCACCGAATTCTTAGGTTTCCAATTCGGTCCCGCCGCCACGCTCCCATCCCAATGGCTGAGCCCAGCTGCCACATGGACAGCTAGAACGGCAGGGGTGGCCCTGAGCCGGGCACCCGCTTTGGCCAGCTGCAGGATTTATATTTTCGGGATTCTCTCAGTGCTCAGCTATGTGTGCCAGCTTTTCCCTCCCCCTCTCGCCTCCGCACCGAGCGTCACGTCCTTCACCGTCTCCTCCGCCTCCCTCCCAATTCCTTTGGCCTGGCTGAGTTCCTGGGGATCAGGTCCTGGCTGCGATCGGCGGTCCCTCGCTCGCTCCGAGTCCTGGCCGGCAGTTCAGCCTGGCGGACGGCGGCTCACACTCTTCGGCGGGACGGGGTGGGCGGGCGGGGGGAGAGCCTTGAGTTGCTCCGCGGCCACGCCGAGATGCACGGCTCGTTCGGCAACCAGGCTTCGGGGGCTCTCGCGACAGAGATTTGGGAGCGTCGGAGCTCGATCGCCGAGTTCCTGGAGATGGTACTCCGCTCAGGGCCACCTGGCATCAGGCCTGAGGCCTGGGCCCCAGCGGCAGCGGCGGCGAGGGCGGAGTTGACGGCGGCCGCCACCGAGGAGCGCCGCCCGCGACCGCAGCGAATCCTCTCCTCCTCCCTCGAGGCTTCGCTCTTCCCCGATTCCCTCCCCACCCTGCTGCATCGTCGTATTTCCTCGTGGCTCCCCGACCTCCAGCCGCTGCTGCCGGCTGATCTTGAGGCTCGGTGGGGTAGTTTAAAGGCGATTCTTGCCCGATCCCCCCCTTCGTGGGCATGGGCCCACCTGAAGACGTTGGCCGGAGCTTGGACGACTTCGGCCCGCGTTCCGAGTGTGCCCGAGGCCTCATGTCTTTTCGGGTGCCGTGCCCCCGATTCGTTCGCCCATTATCTCCAGTGCCCCCGCCTCCTCCACCTCCTCGCCCTTCCTCGTGGAGTCCTCCCTTCTTGTCCTCTCACTCGTCTGGGGCTCGGCCCCCACGCCGATCGCGAGATCGAATATCCACGTTTACGATGTCACCGAATCGTAGTCCTAAGCTTTCACATTTACCATAAACTGAAAGCGGACTTTGCGCGGCGGCCGCAGGCTGCCACGCCTTCATACCATTACCAGATACGATCTGCTGCATTAGCCGCTATGCGAGGCTAGTGCTGTGCAGTAGCTGTGGCACTGTCTTCCCAGCTAGGTGCGCTCCTTCTCCTCCTCCTCCAACTCATTTCCTCCTCCTCCTCCTCCTCCTCCTCCTCCTCCTCCTCCTCCTCCTCCTCCTATTCCGCCTCCTCCGTAGCCATTTTGGCTCAAGCGTTCGCATTGGCCGCCGCCGTCCGCCCCGCGCGATGGCTCGGCCTAGAGGGGCCCCCTCGGCTGCGGTGGACGGCGTCGCCCTGCTGGCGGCCGCCGTCCGCGCCGCTGTGGAGGCGAAGGCGCCGCGCCGCACTGTGGCGGCGGTGGCTGGCGCTGTGGCGGCGGTCGCGCTCCGTGCGCGGACCGCGCCACCCGCGCCGCCGCCCGCCGCTGGTGCTGCGCGCGCCGAGGATGCGGATGCGCCCCCGCGCAGCTCCGCCGCGATGGTCGAGCGCCGCCGACGCCGCCGCCTGCGCCTTGCGGCGCGGCGGGCGGCGGAGCGCGGCGGGGCGGCCAACGCGGCCGACGCTGGGCGTGGTGGCGCTGCTGACGGTGCCGCCGCCGCTGCTGGCCTCGAGCTCGTGCAGCTCCCCATGGTCGTCGACGTCGTCAACGACGAGTGGGCTGACGAGCTGCCGCCGCGCCGTGCGCGGAGGCAGCTGCGGCGCACCGACACGGTGGCGGCGGAGGACCCGCGTCCTCCTGCCGCCGCCGTGGCCGCTGCGGCGGCGGGCTGCGGCAGCGCGGCGGGCATGCAGGCGTTCCTCGAGAAGGCCTTCGCCGCGGGCGTGTCCCCCGCCGACGCCGCGGCCCTGGTTGCTGGGGGCCTCCTTCCGCGTGATGGTCCACGCGGCGGTGGTCCGGGGCCCGGGGCGGCCGGCCGCGGGAGGAGCAGCGGGGGGGGGCGGTAGGGGCCTCGCCGCTACGCGTGCAGGGCCCTCGCCCCTTCCCCCTCCCGCGGGCATCGTGGTGCTCGTCGGCATGGTCGTGCTCGTCATCACGGTCGGGGGTCCTGCCCCGTCAGGACCCCCGTGCGCCCGCGCGCGTGGGCGCGCGCGCGGGCTTCGGGGGAGGCGGCACCGTCTCCTCTATGGCTCGTCGATCCTATTCCGCCTCCAACTTTCCTCCACACGGAATTCCTGCGGAAGTGGCACAGGAGTTGAATGAGGAGCTCCCTCCACAGGAGGGCGCCGCCCGGCTCCGCGCCCGAGCGCGCGTCGCGGAGGGCATGCGGCTGCAGGCGCTCGGTGGGTCTTGCGGCGTGTCGCAGGAGCCCCGTCGGCGTCGGCGCCATCGCTAGCGTCGTCTGCGCGCCGCCGCCGGTTTCCGTCACCGTGCCAGCGGGGAGGCGGTGAAGAGCTTTGGCTTGGAGCGTGTCGTGCCGCGGGTTTTTGCCCACCGCGTTTCGGCGCGGCGTGCCATCCACGGCCAGGTCCCCAACGGTCAACGTCCAGAGCCTTTTCCAGCACTCCGCCCCGCGGAACGGAGCGATGCGCTATCCGCTCGCAGGGAATCGCGTGTAAGCTGGGGCCGCCGCGGCGACAGCGATCCGCTATCCGCTCGCAGGGCATCGCGTGTCGCTGGGGCCGGCGCGGCGACACGCCAAGCAAAAGCTCTTTTCCGCACGCTGTTGTTTGCACGAAGTCGCGGTGGAGGAAGGGGAGGACGACGACGACGGCGATGACGAAGGCGAGGTTGCGGAAGAGAGCCCCGTCGGCGCGCGCCGCTCGGCGTTGCCGTCGGCGTCGTTCGGAGAGCAAACGACACATGCGTGTGCCCAGACCTGCGCTTAGTGGGCCCTGGAAACGACAGGGCCGTTTTTGTTATTGGTTCCGTTTTGCCGTTTTCTTGCCGGTTCCAACGCCGTTATTTTACCGGCTCCGTCGCCGTTTTTTGACCGGTTCCAGCTCCGGTTCCAATCCTGGAACCTTTTTTTGCCGTTTCCGGTCGCCGTTTTTTTCCCGTTTCCATTTTCAATAGACATTTTTTTGGAAACGGTACAAAAACGGCCCTGCCGTTTCCGGGGCCCACAGAGGACCTGCGGCGCACCGAACAGCATCAGGTCGGTCGTTTGGAATGAGAGCTCGGCCCGCGGGGGCCCCTGGCCGGGCACCGCAGGGCCGTCAGAGGACGGCCCAGGATGGCACCAGCGGCTGCGACAGGGGCGGATCGCCGAGGGGTTCCGATCGCCCATCTCTTCGACCACCAGGGCCGTCAATAAAACAGGGCTAGGATCGGGATAAATCGCTCCAGAGCGTTCCGGAGCGCTCTCAGAGCGTTCCGGAACGCCCTGGAGCGGTCGCGGCGCCCAATACATCCTCCAAACCCGCCGATTCTCAGAGGTTTCGAGTTATCCCGATCCGATTTTGTCCCGATCTTCGCGTCGTTTTAGTCAAAGGACGGTTCAGGATGGAGCCGGCGGCTGCGACAGGGGCGGGTGGCCCTCGGGTGCCGATCGCCCACGGCTTCGACGAGCCTCCCCGGCGAGTGCGCCTCCTGCCCGCCCCTGGGCTGTCCACGCCTCTTGCCGCCTCCGCCGATGGAGAGGCCCGCCCTGCGGGAGTGGGTCGGGACCTCCGGGGGCCTATGGGGGAGATGGAGGCGCGGGGTATTATGATGCCCCTCACCGTCGTGTAAAACAGCAGTGCGCAGTGATGGCGGGACGCACGCAGATGATCCATATCATGTCGCAACTTGCAGTCCTTGTGCCCTTTTTGATTTAAAAATCATTTCTGGGGAGCTCTTAGTTTTTGGACCCCCCCTACACGGAGCCATTCTCACTGTTGCCGCTGGTGCCGTCCTCGCGTGAGGCCCCCCCCGCCCGAAGGAGGGCGTCGACTACGACGCGTCCGGCGCGGTGCCCGATTACTTCGACCACGTCCCGAAGGCGGACATGTGCTGCTCGATGTGCCAGGGCAGTCCCGACTGCCTCGCGTGGGTGTGGAAGGACGCGGGCCTGGACGGCGAGCCCCACCGGTGCTTCGTCATGAAGACTGCGCCGCTCACCTCCGCCGCGGTCCCTGGCGTGGTCTCCGGCATGGCGCCGGAGCGCCCTCCGTTCCCAGAAGGGTTCGTTCCAGAGGAGGAGGCAGGTGAGGAGGACGAAGATGCCGAGGACGCAGGGCAGGAGGACGACATGGCTGGCGGGTTCGACCAGAATTCCCTGTTCTGCTTCTCGCTCATCGCTCCAGGTGGCGGCGAGGCGGAGCTGATTCGTGCTCAGCATCAGCTCCGCACCAACATCTTCGGCTGCGACGCGTTCCGAGTCTTCAGCAACGTTCAGGAAGAGGTCGCGCCAGGCGTGGTGTCCGTGCCGGTGGCGAGCGACCTCAAGTGTGAATTCCACGAGATCGCTTGGAACACGTGGATCTTTATCGCCGTTTGGAAGGCCGTGTTTGACGACAGGACGTGGGAAAATCACGGATGGATTGTGAAAACAGATGCAGACTCGGTGTTCATGCCCGACCGGCTCCGCGTCGTCCTCCAGGACCACCCTTCCGCAACGTGGCTGAACAATTGCCACTACGGCTTACACGGGCCACTGGAGGTCCTGTCGAACAGCGCCGTGCAGAGGTTGTCACAGGACAGTCGTGTCCTCCTGCCGCTGCCGCCACGTTTCTCCTGCTCTTCCTCTCCATCCTTGCCCTCCTGCGCCCACCCTCCTCTGCCCTCATGCTTCTCCCACCCTCCTCAGTGACCTCTTCAATCCCCAGCCGTCCCTGCCCGAAAGCCCCAGAGGATCTCTGCAGGCCGAACAGGCCAGGAACTGCCAGGACAGAGGTTCTCGATCCCCCGATCCTCCACCGTCCCCAGAGATCCGACGTCCTGATCTTTTCCATGCGAGGCCCCTGGGCACTCCCGACCCCGTTCTACTAGGGGAGCCCTCCCTGCGCAGGACTACGCCGGCGGGGACCGGCCCGTCCAGTGCCTTGCCAGATACCCGGAGGCGGTGTCCGGCACGGCGCAGTGGGGCGAGGACCTGCACAGTTCCAATCGAGGGAGGGAAAACGCGCTTCAAATTTGTGCATGCTCCAAGCTATTTGAATTTTGAGTTTTGAGCGCCAAGAATGTACCGAAATTAGCGGGTTCTCACGTGCCGGGCCCTGCGAGGCGATGCTCGATACCCAGTCGACACCTCGCCAGCGAGTCGGGCAGACATTGTCTCGATGCTTCTCTGGGTGCTCGAACTTTGTTCTGGGATGTAGTCCTCCAGTACGATGCCAACAACATGACTCGAATTGCGGTAACCCAGATTCGTTTAGGATGCCCGTATGCGGTCAAACGTTTGGGAAAGGTTAGGCCCCGCTATTGGGCCATGCGTTCCCTCAGCCGTTGTGGACGCCCTTCGGGGAACACGTGAGGAGGAAGAGGAGGATGAGGAAAGGGTCATTCTGTTATCTCGTTTCTTACATCTTGCTTCTCACCTTTCCCCCCCACCTCCCCGCTGGTCTCAGCCGCGGGGAGGTGGCAGGACAGGTCTGCACGGCTACAGGATCACTTTCATCAGCCATGAGTCAGTCAGTCATGAGGAAAGGGAGGAAAAAGGAGGATGAGGAGACGGTGGAGCAGACCTCTTGGGAGCTTATTGGGTCATTCTTGGGGCCTCCTGGGGGCTTCCTGGGGGCCTCTTCCGGGGCTTTTTGAGGACACCCCACTTCGCGCCACAGTGGCAGTCTGTGAGCTGAAGATAGCACCGCACAAACAACACTGACACTTCAGGGCCGCCAGGTCGACGTTTTGCGGTTGTACACACACACACACACCCACACGCGCGCACAAGCACCACAGTCTAGTTTTGAGGGCGGGTAAGCTGATCCCAAGGGCGGGGGCGAGCGGGACGGATCGAGCAGGCCCCTGGGCGCTCTTTTGGGGAGCGCTCCGCGAAGTCCTGTGGGCCCCGCTGCCGCGACGCCGCGAAGGCTGGCCGCGACGCGCGGTGGCCCAGGCCCTCCCCCGCCAGCAACAGGGCACGGGCGGCACACCCGGACCTCCAGCCGTCGTGAGAAATGACCCGTCGGTCGTTGAAAGCAAATGTGGGGATGCCCAGATCCCAATGTATTTTTTCCGCGCAATCCTGCTTCAGGGGTCGAGTGGTTCTACCACGTCCCTCCTCCTGAGGGGGCGGGTGTAAGCCTTGTCTGCGTAGCGCCTTCCAACTTCATGTTTCTACCCACTTTTTGCCGACCGACGGGTAACCACGGAGTTTCCCTCGACCTGGACCTCCGCACCTTCTGCGCGGCAGGTGCCGCGCTGCCGCGGCCGCTGCATCGTGGCGGCACCTTCCGCGCGGCAGGTGTTGAGGTTGCAGGTCGATGGCAAGTCACCTCGCGGACGGAAGAATGATCCGTGTCCACGGCCTCGCGGGCTCGGTCCCTGGGCCGCGCCCCCAGGGATGCCTGGCGTTTTTTATTGGATGCCCCGCGCGGAGCGTATTCATGCGAGCCCGGATCCAAGGGGTCGACCCCCAGAATCCAGACTGCGAGAGCGAGGATGTGGATGCGTTCGCCGCTCGTGGATCCCCCGCTGGGGCGCCAGGCTAACCGCGCTTCGCGCGTCGCGGTCTTGGCCAGGGCGGTCGCCCTTCTCCCAGGGGGCGGAGCGAGGGCGCGACGGCGCGAAGACAGTCGCGCGTCGCGCATCGAGGGCGCGATGCGCGAAGCTGGGTGGTCTGGGCGGAGCGCTTTTTGCAAGTTTTCGGCGTCTGGGGTCCCTGGTGGGTGCAACCGCCAGGCCCTTGGATTGTGTCGCGACCTCTGGGGGCCCACGTTGTGGAAAAACACGGCGTCGGAGCCTAGCGCCGCAGCGAGATTCTTGGCCTGCGGGTCGAAACAACTCACCGCCAGGTGTCTGGGCAAGCGTCGCCCCCCCCCCCCCCCCACCCCCCTTTCGGAGGCCTTGAGGTTGACAGTGATCCAGGTCTCGGTGATGGTGGCAATCTTCGGGCGTCCTGGGCGGAAGAACGATTACCTTCAGCACCCATATCCAGGCTTACCTCCCCCCGGTGGAGGCAACCCCCCATGCTGTTGTTGGTGCTCGTGGCCAGGCCTCCAACCCGTTGGCAACACCCGGAGGACATGTTCGTGCAGGCCTGCCTCGACAAGGCGCGCGGCTCAGCACTGCGCGGGGCAGGGCGCGGCCGCCCGACCCGCCTCGGCCCCCCCCCCCGGAGACCAGGGCCGCTTCGAAGCTTTCTTTTGGGCCCTCTCCCTGGACGCGTTCGGAAGCCTTCCTGAGGGCACTTCGGCCAAGCCGCACAGCTTCGGAGGCAGTGCACATAAAAAAAACACTCACAGGTTCTTGCCCAACCGTGCCGTGGTGCTGGGTCCTCGCTTTCTCCAGAGAGCGCCCCGCGTCTCCCTCCTTCCTCCTTCCCCTCCCTCCTCCCTCCTCCCATGCCTGCCTCTGCCCGCCCTCCGCATGTCCACTTCGGCACACCCCTCACACGTTTCGTGGCCCCATGGAGCTCCACCGAAGGCTCCAGCCGTAGCGTCCGTCTGTCGTACCCGCGCCCACTTGTGCACACCCATCACACGCTTCGTGGCCGCACAGGGAGTTCAACCGAAGGCCCCAGCGGCAGCGTCCGCATGGCGCACCCGCACCCAATTCAGCACACCCCTCACACGATCCGTGGCAACAGAGAGCTCCTCCGAAGGACTCAGCGGCAGCGTGGGCATGGCGTACCCGCACCCACTTCGGCACAGCGCCAGCGGCAGCGTCCGCATGGCTTACCCGCACCCACTTCGGCACACCCCCCACACGTTGCGTGGCCCTATAGGGAGCTTTACTGAAGGCGCCAGCGGCAGCGCCCGCATGGCGTACCCACACACATTCTTGCACACACGCACACACACCCATAAGTTTCGTGACCCCAAAGGGATCTTCACCGACCGAAAGCGACACTCACAACTGCGGTGCTTGCAATTGCCGCCAGAATGTTTCCATTTTTGGGCGCCCCTTGAGGGCCTCGGAGGGCCTCCTGAAGCTTATGAGGGGCACCTTAGGTCCTCCGGAGGCGTCGTTCAGTTGTCTTGTCAGGCCCCCGGAGGCCTGGACAACGATCAATAAGGACGTTGGCAAGTCGGGGAAGGAACACCCTTTCCTACAGAGGCGGGCTTGGTCGTCCAGTGCATGTTTGTTTGGCTGCGCTGCAGGATTCGGGTCTTTGTCCGGGTCTGTGGGGGGTGGTGCAGGCTTTTAGGGGCTTTGTCCAGGCCTATTCTGGTTGACCCAGAAGGGGGTCCAGCTGAGAGGGTGTGGTGCAGTAGACCTGGTGCAAAAGATTTGTGGAGTTGCAATCGATTGGGGGCGTGTGATACATTCTGGTGCGCAAATGTTTCCTTGATTTGCGCGGGCAATACGATAGCTGCACTACAATGCAATACAATTCTCTGGCGCAATACATTTGCAATACCATTGCCCTACATCTATTGCACCACCTCCTTGCAGCTGGACACCCCTTTGGGTCCACCAAATGTATTCCGGGAATGGTGCAGTGCAGTTTTTTGTCAGTGCCGCCGTCTGGACCAAAATGGTTTCGAGGGATGTTGGATGTCCCGGTCTAGTGCGTCCGAGTTCTCGAGGCCCGGCCCGTCCCCAGACATGGCCCGCGCTTCTGGACCCACGACGACGGGCTAGCCCCGCAAATGGTCGGGCGGATGGACAGATCGCATCTGCGGGTGTCTGGGTCGACCGCGTCCTTGGGACTGGATCTTTCGGCACGGGCCGCTATCTTTGGCGGGATCTGTCCTCCGAAATCCCAGGTTGGCGAATGAGCTGGGCTTCTCAATTCTTGACGCTTTAAGTGTCGCCACCAGCTGTGCCACTGCTGTAATTGAGAGGTACTGCATTTGCAGTCCTATCTGTGACGAGGTTGCCCCCTCTTCACTCCTGCGCTGACACGATTTTTCGACATTTGTGTCCGTCCACTTCACGGATGTCATCTGGGGGTGCTTGTCGGTCTTTTTCGTCTCTGAGGTTGCCGTCTGGCTGACTCACACCGAGTGATCGACTTCTACCTGGTTTTGGTCGCGCCGCCGCGCCATTTTGGCTGCGTCTACTCGCTGGTAGCCACCGGGATTTTCGGACGCCGCCGGGAATGGGACGACCAGTTCTTTTCGCACTTCTGAGCTGACGCCCTGCTGCGCCTGGCTTGCTTTTCCGCCTTCTGACGAAAAATTATCGCCACCAGCCCATCCAGAAACCATGCACAGGAGAGTCGGTAGTGGAACAAGGCGCTTGACAATTGTGGAATTAGAAACCTCGGAGAGCTTCGTGGAGGCATTTGGCTGTCATCCTCGAGGCCATCGGTGAAACAAACAAGTGTTTTGTCTGTCAGTCTCCCTGTTGTGGGGCCCTCAAACTCGCCTTTTTGGGGCACTCTTGGAGCCGTCTTGGAACCCCATTTGGGCTCTCGGGAGCCACTTCGAAGACTTAGGAGCCCATCGAATGCGAAAAGGCGAGAATAGAACGACAACTAAGTTTTTCGCTTGGTTTTGAAAAGGGTCTCTGCCTATCTAAAAGCGCGCTGAACAACCGCATCGCCACCTGGAGCCGTTTTGGTGCGACCGTGGGGCTTCTTGGAAGCAGTCTGGCAGTTTTCTTGAATCATATTGGGATATGTTATGCGAAATTGGAGGCCTTGGGCTATCTGGGGCCTTCTTGAGGCAATCTTGGACCATTCTGGACGCTCCAATGGTCCGCGAAACGTCCCCTCCAGACCCAGGGAGAGAGGGCACGGAGAGACGGGGAGAGGTAAATTTTCCCCCAAGATGAAAAGTATTCCAGAATGAAAGGACTGCTCCGGCAGAACAGTTGGGAGCTCCATGCGCCAGCGACTTGAAAGGTCTTGCCGTCGCAGTTTGAACAATGCACTCCTCTCTTCTCTGACTTTGTCCAGAAGGTCTCCGGCTCTCTCCGCGTATTGTTCTTTTACAAGCAGGTGTTCAAACATGGTTGTAATAATGTTGCCGTTGACATCTAGTTGATGCTGGTGTTTCAAAATTGCGTTCCCGCTGCAGCGTGGGCCTCTCTCGCCCCAACGTTGGCTATTTTTCTCGCTCCGAATCCTCTTTCGTCGTTTCCCCCTCCAGTTCCCCTCCTCCGTCTTCCCCTGGTCCTCCTGCTTCTCCCACTCCTTCGGCTCAATTTGTTGGTGCTTCTGTTCTTGTTCATTCTCGTTCTCCTCCTTCATCATCCTCCTTGTCCTCGTGCTCATCCTCCTGTTTACCCGCCACTTCCTCCTCCTCCTCGTCCTCCTCCTCCTTCTCTGGTTCTGCATCGCACGGTGGTGTCTTTCAGTTGGAGTTCCAGGTCGGCTATGACACGCGTCCGCGGATAGATAACATCCGCGCAATTGGAAGGGATTAGTGGGTGGGATAGGATGTCGGACATGGCGCGAGTGCACCTAGCTTGTCCTTCTCCTCTCTTCCCATCTGCCCTCCTCCTCCAGATCGTTACCATTGGGCGAATGACAGCCTGCAGTCTTGTCGCCGCGGAGAACACAGGGGATCGCATGGCTCATGCTCTGAGGCGTGAGAAATTAAGGTGTATGGGCTGCAGCCTGAGTACGACGAGCGGTTGATGTGCGAGGACCACTGCGATTGTCCAGATTGGTATTGGTGCAACAATCGGTCCGATCGTGTCAGCTACCACCCGTTCAAGAAGGCGGATTTGTATACCCAATGCTTGGCCAATGCGCTATCCTATAGCAGGTGAGCGCCGCTTTACAGGAGGCGGGCTACAGGCCATAGGTATTTCCCCCTCTGTTTGATATTGGATGGATTATGGCACATGAACCAGACTTCTGACACGTGAACGAGACCAGCAACGGCTTTCGAACGTATACCTCCAAGTTCCCGAGTTGTCCCGAGTCATCTACAGGGGGGTCGCACAACATGCGCCCTGTAGAGCATCCGGACTTCCAACGTCTCGATGTCCCTGGCCATGGATTTCGCAACCCCTTCCCCCAGACCGGTTTGCCAGTATGTTTATGTACATGTATTCACCGCCATAATTACGTACATGTATCCACCGCCATAATTACCTATATACCGCGCATGTCTGCGTGTCTGTGCACATGTGTGCAGTTGCTGTAACTATTTGACGGGCGTCCCCATACTTAGACGATGACTTACTTCCTACAACAAGCGGAGCGAATGGGCCGAGCCGCTGGAAGTCTGGCTCCCAGCCATGCTTCACAAGAGACAAAGAGAGAAAGAGAGGGAGAGAGAGAGAGAGAGAGAGAAAAAGAAAGGTGAATCTCAGAGCGAACGCTGGGCTCCAGCCGCGGCCTGCGCGACCGCACCAGCCAAAGGTGGGCCGCGGCATGTGCCGACACAGTGCGCTGCACAAGCAGGGCCCTGCAGCATGAACACTTTGGAACATGTCCTTCAATTCGGCTGCGCAGAAAAATGTGCCGCAACGGTGTGTCGGGCCCAGGAATCGTCATAGAGCGATTCCGGATGAACAGCTAACCCCGGGGATGGCGGAAATATTCGAGAGTTCCAGGGAATCCGCTTGTGGAGCCACAGACGTCAGACAAGGCAAGAAAAGCCCGTGGTTTGCCCCATCACCGAGCAGCTTGTCTGAATTGGCGCGGGTCTGACCACACGCCCCTCTTCTGCTCAGCCTCGTTCCTACCCTCTTCCTTCATCTTGGATGCTCCTTGGGGGCTCACCTGGGGCCTCTTGAGGGCTTATTGGAGCCGACTTTTGGGCCCTTTAGGAGCCCGTTGGGGACCAGTCGGAGATCTCGGTGCCATTTTGGGCCCGATGTCTCTTCGAAGTCTCCCGAAGAGGTTGGGTTGGACCATCTTGAGGGCGCGTCGTGGGGGACGAGGGTCGCGGATAAGAGTGAGGGGGCGATGGGGACGTCGGCAGTCTGCGAGACTCTGGAGAAGCCCGCCGCAGGCGCCAAAGTTTCACACATTATGCCACGAGCCCGCCGCAGGAGCCGATTTTTTCTTCAAACCAATGTGGATCGGTCGCGTCTGGGTCGCGGGTGGGTCGCGGTTGGGTCGCGGGGTGGGTTGCGGGTGGGTCGCAAGTGGGTCGCGGGTGGGTCGCGGGTGGGTCGCGGATGGGTCGCAGGGTGGGTCGCGGGTGGGTCGCGGGGTGGGCCGCGGGGTGGGCCGCGGGTTTGTCGCGGGTTGTGTCGCGGGTTGGGTCAAGGGTTGGGGCGCGGGTCGGGTCGCGGGTGGGTCGCGGGGGTGATGATGACAACAAACAACAACAGCAACAACAACAGCAACAACAACAACAACCATTCTAAGAGTGTTCGCTCTTACTTGCCCGCGTGTCATTCAAAACCAGCTCCCCACACCATTGATACCCGCCCTTTTCGTCTTCGATGGCACCCCCTTTGGGGGGATTATTTCTCTTTGCTGGAGGCGGCGGGTTTAGACAGGCGGGCAAACCTGAACGGACGGGCCATCTTTTGTGGGCGTACATGTTCCCGCCATTGGAATTGGTGTGGGCCCTGCAAAAAAGAGGAGGACGAGAACGAGGGAGAGTGGGAGTAAGGGAGGGGGAGGGACGAAGGAAGCGGGAAAACGCCAGGAGAGCAGGAGCGAAGAGGGGCGGTTGATTACAGGCAGAGAGAGAGAGAAAGACAGATAAGAGAGGTAGAGAAATAGAGAGCGAGGGGAGAGAGAGAGAGAGAGAGAGAGAGAGAGAGAAAAAGAAAGAAAGAAAGAAAATAAAGAGGGAGGGAGGAGGCAGGAGAGGGGAGGGAGAAGGGAGGAGGGAGAGGGAGAGGGGATACGGCAGAGAGGCATCAGGATGAGGGAAGAGAGGAGGGAGAGAGAAGGGAGGAGAGGTGTGAGGAGGGAGGGGGAGAGGGAGGAGGAACAGGAAGGTAAGAGCGTGGCGTGAACGTTCCAGGAATTCCTAGGCGAAAGCGCCGCTATTGAAGGAAGTCTCGGGCAGGCGCCCACGACGGGCGGGCGATCCCCTGACGGGCGGGTCGGGTGGGTGGGTCATTCAAGCGGGATGCTTGAGTATGGCGAGAGCGCGGTTACTAAGTGTTTTGTTACGGCGTCTTTGGCGCAGTGTGCTTCCTGAGCGTCGAAAGCGCAGTTTCTGAATAAGTTGCATGGAACTACAGGCGGGAACGCAATTTCTGAATAACATGAGAAGGGTTCTCTGGCGGGAGCGGGGGTCTTGACTAAATTAAGAGGAAGTCTTGATTCAATTGCGAGGAAGTCTCAAGCGGGAGCGCCGTTCGTGAGTAAATTATGAGGAAGTCTCAGATGGGAGCGGGGGTCCTGATTAAATTGCGATGGGTTCACAGGCGGGAGCACCGATCCTGAGTAAATTCTGAGGAAGTCTCAGGAGCGGGGGTCCTGAGTAAATTTAGAGGAAGTCTCAGGTGGGAGCCGCTGTTGTTGTAGTCCGGGGGGGCAGGGGCACACTTTGAGCACCAAGATTTTCCCTGTCAAAAAACAGGGTGCGAGCGTCGAGGGGCACACTTTGATTGGGGAAACACAGCATGCACAGGTGAGGGGGGATCAACACTAATTATTTTTTTCAGAAGTGAGAGCTCAACAACAACACTAACAACAACACCCACAACAACGCAACAAGCAGAATCCACACCACGGATTTCCATTTCAGCTACGCACCCAGGCACAATGAATGACCGTTCGGCCCCCTCACTCTGATTGTTTGACCGCCTTGCGAGTGTATTGAGGCTGCCTTGGGGTCTTCTTGGGTGTTCCAGGACGCTTTTTGGGGCTGGCTGTCTCCCAGTTCTCTGGACGGTTTGGACGCCAAGCTCATTCAAGTCCTCATGTTTCTAATCGGTTTGTGTTTATCTTGATGCATCCTGGGGCGCCTCTCTGGGTGAGATCTATTGGGGCGTTTTTCGGCTTCGAGGGTGTCAATGGGCCGTTTTGGGCTGGTCATCGGGTGCACCTGTCTCTCAGCAGTTGCCAAATAATAGTGGATGGCGATTTGAAGTTTTGAAACGAGGTTTGCTCGCGGGGGCTGCCATTGAACAGCTACGGCAACCGTATTTCAGCACACATGCATACATGAATCCATACATACTAGGCAGCAAGACATAGTTCGGCATATCCCACTATTGATCAAACGCGGTGGCAGGCGTGAGAGGTTTTTGAGCGCCCGTGGGGGAAGGGTTGGGCAAGACATTGGCATTGAGCCCCAAGGTTGAGTGCAAGATAGTTTGAATGTTTGTCCTCGTTTGGACGACGGCAGGGCTTCTCATATTTCGTTAACAGCCTAAAAACGAAAAGGTGTGTTGTACGGTGCCAGAACTTTTTGCTTCGCGCGTGCGCGCAGTGGTTGCAGTTCCATGTAGGAATGGGTCGGCAATTCGGGGACGAACCCCGTGAGGCCACCAATGTTAGTCCTCCTTTGCTCGTGCTGTCCTTCGTTCCGCTACCCCAGAGCGCGGTTCCTTGGCGTTTTTGGAATGCAGAAATCCTGCTTGCAGGTAGCGACGGGGCAGTCAATGTTCTGATATTATACACCCCCCGCCGCTGGCTGTACAATCCGCCTGCCGCGCTGTAGACGCCCTGCTCTAACTCGAGCTGAGTGGTCCGCCGTCCCCAATGGATACCACGTGGATGTAGCCCAGGGGTGGCGCATTGCCGACGCTGTTGAGGCCACGAAGCGTTGAGGAAAAAGCCCTCGGAGTATGATCTTCCGATTTTGCAGCATGCCCTTGCCTACCAACAGTGTCAGGTTGTTTACCTCTTTGCTTCCTGCTCGCCTCTCCACCACTTCCGCCTCTGCCCGCGCATGCAGACCACAGTTCAGTCGAGTTTTCTAGGTTCCAGGTGAGGGTTTCGATATGTTTCGAAATCTTTGCGGGTCGAGATCCTTGGAAATGTGAACACCTACCAGGCATCCCAAGGACTATCTCCAGTCGAGAGCCAAGTCTAGTGCTAATCAGTAGCCTATTGCGGTTCCTACCCTTGCGTTTCATTGTATTTTCCGCGCCCTCAGGCACGGGGCTGGCTACGACACCTGAAGGACCGACGATTTGTCTCCAGTGTGTCGCCTTCTGTGTCGACTGCGGCGTATTGGCTGCAGTTGCCTGCCCTCGCCTGTGCGCTCTCCCTGCGGCACGCAGCTGTGCGTCCTCAGTCGTTGGTACGCCGCCGTAAGCATTTCCGATCAACATGTGTCGAATGCCGTGGGAGTAGCAAGCAGACAACCATCCACACACACACACATCCAAAAGCACGCGCACACATTCACACACACACACGTTGTCTTGCTTACTCCATCGGCCGAGTGACGTCACTTCAGCGAGAGCTTAGGCGTGGCACGCTTAGCGTCAATTCAGACGTAGGTTGCAGAGCGGAGTGCTACGCAAGGCGACTCACTTGTAGAAGAAGATCGTGGCAGCTGCGTAGGCAAGCACAGTGGAGGATAGAGACGTGCACCATGCAAGGAGGAGAGCGACGAGCCAGCGAAGGCAGAGGCCGAGCGTGCCAGCTTTGATTGTCACAGGCTGGTGCAGGGCTGGACACGCGCCACGGGGGCGGAGGCGCTCAGCCACACACACACACATAAGCACACGCACGCACATTCTCCCTCTCTCTCACACGCATTTTTTCGGGCGCGTGCTGCCGGGGCAGCGGCCATCTCCAGTGCTAGACGTCCAGGCACTAAGAACGAGCTGCGGCGGGGACACGGCGCCCTTGCCTCACGCGGTTGGGCAACGGCAGGTTTGGGGCCGCTGGGGCGGGGGAGGTGGGGGCAGTGCGGCGCGCCACCAGGCATTGCAGGCCGGGGCAGCGCAGAGCAAGCAGTCACCAAGGGCGCCCTCGAGGGCGCGACTTCATTCGCGCTTCGCGCATCGCGGTTCGGCTCCGATTCCTCCTCGTCCTCTTTTCCCCTGGGAGGCTGCGCGAGAGCGCGAACTTATTCGCACTTCGCGCTTCGCGCAGTGCGAAGCGCGAAATTGGGAGCCCTTGAGTCACATTAATTTTTTCGTCAGCGGCGAAGCGGCGAACTCCGCTCCAGCGAGAAGCTGAAAGGGGGCACTAACTAGCGAACTGGCCGGCGGGCAAAGAGGGGGGCGGGACGGCCGAGAGGAAGAGGGGACGCTCAGACGTCGAAGAGGAAAAAGAGAGCAGTCACATCACAAATCAGAGTGAGGGGGCTGAACCGAACGGTCATTCGCTGTCCCTTGGTGCGTGGCTGAAGTGGAATTCGGCGATGCGGATTCTCGTTGTTGTTGTTGGTGTTGTTGTTGTTGTTGTTGTTGTTGTTGTTGTTGTTGTTATTGTTGCTGTTGTTATTGTTGCTGTTCCTTGTTGTTTGTTGTTTGTTGTTTGTTGTTTGTTGTTTGTTGTTTGTTGTTGTCGTCGTCCCACCCGCGACCCGCCCCGCGACCCACCCGCGACCCACCCCGCGACCCACCCGCGACCCGCCCCGCGACCCACCCGCGACCCACCCCGCGACCCACCCGCGACCCACCCGCGACCCACCGCGCGACCCACCCGCGACCCACCCCCGCGACCCGCCCGCGACCCACCCCGAGACCCACCCGCGACCCACCCCGCAACCCACCCGCGACACACCGCGACCCACCCGCGACCCACCCCGCGACCCACCCAAAATTTTCGGCGCCTGCGGCGGGTTTCTTTTGCATTCGTTCCAGGTGGAGAACCTGCGACCCACTCGCGACCCCAACCGCGTTCAGTGTACAAATCAAAGGTTTCGGCGCCTGCGGCGGGCTGTTTTTTCGAATTCCTTCCAGGTAGAGGTTGAGAGCACGCGACGCACCCGCGACCCAAACCACGTTTATTGAACAAGCCAAAACTTCGGCGCCTGCGGCGGGTTTCTTTTGAATTCGTTCCAGGTGGAGAACCTGCGACCCAAACCGCGTTCAGTGTACAATTCAAAATTTAGGCGCCTGCGGCGGGCTGTTTTTTTGAATTCCTTCCAGGTGGAGGTGGAGAGCCCGCGACCCACCCGCGACCCAAACTACGTTTATTGAACAAGCCAGAAATTCAGCGCCTGTGGCGGTCCGCCGGCTCGACGCCCGCGTCGTCCGCGCCCGCCCACTCACTCTTATCCGCAATTGCGGGGTGCTGCGCATAAGAACCTTTCTGTTTGCGCCTACAGGCCGCTGACTGGCTCCATCGTTCAGTCAGCCTCGCGTGCAGCTGGCGGCGTTGGGATTATGGGTGGCCGTCCCAACAGACAAAAACCGCGGCCCATGCATGATAAAGAAGAGCACGTTGAGAGACGAGCATAAGGGTATCTTGTCAGACGCGTCCACGTCGCCCCGTGCCTAAGAGTTTCGACGCCTTCGTAGCTCCGCATGGCGACGACGAGCCAGACCAGACTCTCTTCAAGGCCTTGATGTCGTGCGCGGCTCAACCAGAGGATTGTTTATTCTACAGGATGGCGCCGACCATAAAGACAAGCCAACCGCGTTCGCCCTTGATACCGATTTGCCTGTTCGTGGCTGGCGAGCTGAAACCAGGCCTGATGCGACAGCGCCACCTACTACCATATTCGCACGGCTCACCAGCCAAATAAAACCCATTGCCAGTTCTCACACATGATAAACCGTAAACTTGGATTTTCAGGATTATGTTCTGTTCGGGTTTCAGCGAAAGTCGTATTTGAGTTTGTTTTATAATTCCACGGCGGTAGCAGGCGTCACCGGTGGGTGGGGGGTGGAAGGGGCGTCACGTTTCGCGTCGGCGGAGTCTGGAAATGCCTAGGGATGACCGGGGCCCGTGCACGCAGGGCAGGTGCGGTGGTGTACACCAGCGCTGTGTTGCACGCGGATGCTGTGGTATACACAAGCGTTGTGGTGTGCACAGGCGCTGCTGTGTACGCAAGCTTTGTGGTGTACGCAGGCGGTGTGTTGCAGACGGCTGCTGTGGTGTACGCATTCGCTGTGGTGTGCATGCGCGCTGTGGTGCACGTGAGCACTTTGGTGTGCAAAGGCGCTGTGGTGCAGATCGCCACCTACATGCTGCTCCTGCTTGGCTACGGTTATCCCTAGGTCACAATGCCTGGCCGTTCTCGGAGTTCTAGTCTTCGCCGTCTCTCAAAGCACACGTTTGAGGTTGAGCTGCAAATGGAAAATGTCCACAGCCAGATGTGGACATCTTGAGCGCCTGGTTGGTTTGTGAGTGCGCCCACCGCTACTCCCAAAGTCCCCACTCGTTCAGAACACGCTTGGCCACTGCAGGACGCTTTGTTTCTAGTGGTCTCGTATTCCCCTCAATGCGGAAATTCGCGCCTTGCCTCCGCCGTTTAGGAGACTAACCAATGATCAGTCAGCGATAGTTGGCGCAACATGTCGCGTAAGATGAAGGTCGTCTAGCAAACCTCACATGAATATCGTCACATTTGGCGAGATCAGGGCGGCGCTCACCTTTGTGTCCTCTGGCTCCTTCGCGGCGATGGGGCAACCCGGCCGATCTTCAGGCGACGGGACTCGTCAGGAGGAATTGCAGTCGCCTGTGTGCCGATCGCGTTCTAGCCATGGCCATGGCATCCTCCGAGCTCGTTTCGGAGTCTTCCTGGGGCCCACCACAGCGGGTATGATCGATTATTGTTTGATTCTAATTCAACTGATGGCTGACTCAAGCTCGACTCTAGTCGACGGACGTTCGACGCAGCATCGACGCGTGAGTGGGGCGAGTGGCTCCTGAAAGGCCCCCAGAGAGAACACCTAAATATCCCAGCTTGGGGGCAGGCCGAGACGAACAGTGTAAGACGCTGGACGCTGGACGTTTTTGCCAAGACGGTTTTTGCGCTGCGAGGTTCTTCCGTTTGCTTCTTTGGACGAGCCTTTTACGGCGGGGTCGGCCCGATGCCGCCGAATTGGGCGAGGGTTCGGACGATGGTTTTGAGGTTTGGCGTGAGTGTTGATTGGGGCTCCGTCGTGGATTTCGAAGTTGGCTTCGGCCTTGTTCTCGACGTGGGTTTGGACTTGAGTTAGAGCTTCTGGGTTCGGATGCTGGTTTCGACGTTTGTGTCGACGTGGGTATCGAAATAAGTTTTGACATGGGTGTTGACCTGCGTTTCGACATGGTTTTCGACTTGGGTGTCCACGCGTAGGGTTGACAGAATGGCGGCCTCAGGGTACGGCCCATGGGGGGTCCTCGGCCAAGGCCTTACTTGCGTTGCGGCGGCCGCCCCCGCCAGCCTGCCGCAGGCAGCGGTCGAAGCATGCGTCGTGCGCAGTCCCAGGCATGAAGGGTTTCCCGCACCCACAGGGGGCTTCACACAAATGCTTCCACACGCACACACACACACTGAATGGACTCAATACTCGCAGCGGGTTCCATGCTTGCTGCACGGGTGAGCTGCTAGCGGTCCACGCGCTGGCGCCGTATAGTTACTTGTTCTCGAATCCCAATAACCCGAGCGGGTTTCGCAGGGCTGTGCAAGGCCTCGTTCGGATGCTGAGATGTCTTCTGCATGCTGATCCGGAAGAAGTATGTGACCAGGGCTCCATAGGCGAAACGAAAGTTCGAATCGGGTCCGCTTGCGTTTCCCAGCACGGTTGGGCTTGAACCCCACAAGGGGCACAACAGGTATAACAATAATTGCATTTCCGGGATGAGAATAGGCTAGAACGAGCGTGGCATGTCACACGAATGGCGCAATTTAATTACTACACGCTCACGTTGGCGAGTTTGCAATAAGTCACAGTTTCGATTTGTATTTGTAGTTGGTCCATGGCTTGCGCAGCGAGGATGCGACGAAGGTAGCTTGCTGAAGCGATGGGCACCCGGTACAGTATGAATTGTGGCGCATGTGACATTTCGAGTGTTTGCCTGTGTTCACCAAAGTTGCGAAAGTTGTGATGCTGTTTTTTTTTCACGCGGGCTGTCTGTGATCGCACAAGTTGAAGCAGGTCGATGTTGGTCGTTTCTGGGGCAGTAGAGATCTCATTGGCCACGTTATGTTTCTGATCTCTGTATTTGGCCTACCGCATCCTCCCAACATGTACCACATGAGCGCCTACACATCAATACACGCAAGTCCTGCCTACCTTGTGCCTGTCGGCTCTCTTGAACTGCCGACGACTGCTACATGGCTCTGCAGCTGGATCCGTCTTTCGCCTCCCCACGCCTTCCTTTCGTTATGAAGGGAAGATGCCCTGAGGGAAACGTGTCCTCTACCCTGGAGCTTTCCCCAAGTCCATTTTTTCATCCCGAAGGGTTCCGGGAAGGGCCCAAGGGTTTCTGCGAAAACAGACAACACGTTCCAGTTGCTCCCCATTCTCTCCAGGACCCGTCTCCCTCATGCTAACTGTCCTGTTTCCGCCCGTTGTCATCATGTTGTTCGTGGCTCCAGCTCGTTTGTTGTAGAGTCTGGGCATCGGAGATCTGGGAGAGGAGGCCGGGGGATGACGCGAAGGCCATGCGTGTGCGCAGGGATCGCCCCGCCATATACTGCGCACGCCCCCCCCCCCTCCCTCTTATCTCCCCTCCCCCTGTCACCTCCCCTCCTCCCCCCCCTCCTTCGCACGCCCTCCCTCCTTTTCACCCCCCCTCCTTATGCCCCCCCTCCCTCTCGCCTCCCCTCCTCCCGTCGTCTTCAACGTCGACGCCGATCGCTTCCTCCCCTCGCCGCGGCGCCGCGCTACGCCGAAGCAAAAAGCTTCCACATATCTGCGCCGCGCGCCCGCGCGCACCGAGGAGAGCTCCAGCGCCCGCGCTTGGCGAGGTGACGCCGCCGCCGAGGGTTTGGCTGGGCCCCCCGCGTCTGCCCGTCTGCCCGCCGTCCTCCTCGTCCTACTCGTCCTCCATGTCCTCCTCGTCCTCGTTAGGGGAACGAGCAATGACATAAACATGAAAACTCAGGGGTCCGCGCGGATTTCTCGAATCCGCGCGGCAGGGAGGGGGGTCCAGCGCGGACCTCCGAGTTTTTCTGTTTCTGTAATTTTTCGTGCCCCTACTCGTCGTCGACGTAGCCATTTTGGCTCACGGCGGAGCTTACCCCCCGCCCCAGAGACCCGAGGCCGAGGTGGAAGGGCAGCCCCCTCAAGGCCTGGCTGCCTAGGTCCAGCTTTCTGTGAGGTCCTGGGGGGGCCAAGATGTTTTCGCTCCTGGTGGGGCAGCCTCTCGGTCCTTCGCCCTTGCACATGGGCGGCAATGGACAAGGGCGTGAGTAGGCTAGGAACCAGAAGCAGCAGTATGCCAAATGTCGGGCGTGCGGGTTTAAGTGGAACTGGAGGAAGATAACGGCGTGCCGCAATTGTTTGAAGCCCCATGCAGCCCTCCAGGTCGCAAGAGCGCCAGCCCGGCGGCGCTTTGGGCCCAGGCGGGGCCAGCGAGCGCTGCCACAGCCGCCCGCGAGGTGGCAAAGGGAACCAAGGGGGCCCCGCCGACGCAGGATGAGCTCTTGCGGCAGCTGCGCGCCACCCTTCTTGCCTCTTGCCGAAGCCGAAGGATGCTACACGAAGTGGTCGAAGAGCAGGCACGGGCTCGGGTGCGACATCGCAGGCGAGAGGCAGCACCCCGCCCCGCAGACGCCAACGGGAGGCACGCACCAGAGGCGCGCAGAGTGCCACGACCCGTCCTCAGTGCAGGGGTGGAAGACGCACTACGCGCCGATGGAAGCGCAGACCACCAACAGGGTGAGCGGCGACGCCAGGCTTACGAGCGAGGAGGCGGCCACCAAAGCGGGTTGGGGGCTCGGCACTACAGAGCTAGAGTGAGCGACGTGTACCACAGTTCTCTGTCCTCAAAGCATCGCTTAGCCTGTCCAGCTGCAGCCAGTGCGGCGCAGCATCTGCATATTCAGCAGCAGCAGAGAGAACGATACACACATATATATATATATAGAGAGAGAGAGCTCTCCCATCAGCACAAGGCCGCCTCCTTGTTTTTATAAAAACCTGGCCCTGCCCCGTTGCAGCCGAGCTGCAGTCGCTCACCTCCTTTCTCAGCTGCGCAGATTGGTGAGCAGCTCCCACGCAGCAACAGCAGAGAGATCGCGAGAGAGAGCGGGCCCGATCGTCAGGACCTGGCCGCCGCTTCCCCCCTTCCCTCGACGTGCCTCGTCGCAGCCTGGCCGGCCATCGCCCACCTCATCCGTTCTTTCCCAGCTGCCAGAGAAGTGCACAGCAGCAGCAGCAGAGCGATCGAGAAAGAGGGCGCGGGCTTGATCGCCAGGACCTGGCCGCCTTTCCCCAGTCGGCGCATGAACGAGGCTAGTGAGGCGCAGCGCAGCACCCGCATGCAGCAGCAGGGGTCAAGAGAGAGAGCGGGCCAGACCGCCAGGGCCTGGCCGCCCCCCCCCCCTTGACTAGCCTTGTCGCAGCCGGGCCAGCCATCGCTCACCCCCCTTCCCAGCTGCGTAGAGAGGTGCACGCAGCAGCAGCAAGGATATCGAGAAAGAGAGAGCGGGCTGGAACGTCAGGACGTGGCCGCCTCATCTCTTCATCACGAGCGAGGCCAGTGAGGTACAGCACAGCGCCCACGCACAGCGGCAGGGGCCGAGAGAGAGAGCGGGCCCGATCGTCAGGACTGGCCGCCTCATCCCCCCAACCACCCTTTCTTGCCCGTCGCTGCCGAGACAGCCATCGCCCAATCTCCGAGACCAGCTGCAGCTACAGGGGCGACGCACCGCACCCACAGCATCAGCAGCGAGATCGAGAGAGAGAGAGAGAGCGAGCTCGATTGTCCGGACAGGCCGCCTCTCAGAGTCGGAGTCAGCTCAGATTGAGAGAGAGAGAGAGAAAGAGAGAGAAAGAGAGAGAGAGAGAGAGATAGTGTGCGCGCGCGATATCGCGTCGCCGACAACTTCAAGGCCGCCTCTTCTCTATTTTGTTTTTTGCATTGACTGCAGGGGGGCGAGTGCGAGGAGCGGGGGGTGGGGTGAGGGAGAGGGCCTTCAGAGTCAGCTGCCCGCCCGAGAGGCAGCAGCTGACTCTTCTTTTTTTGCCGATGAGTTGCCGCGGGGCAGGGGCCCCTGCAGCGGGGCAGCGACGCGGGGGGCCGCGTAGGCGGCCCCCCGCGTCGCCTGTCGACACCTGTCGGGCCGACACCTGTCGACCAGAGGGGTTGCTTCCAGATTAATCCCAGGGGCCCTCCCAAGTTTCATTGGAATCTTGAGATCATGGACCTCCGAGGGCCTCATCCTTATCCTTATCCTCCTCCTCCTTTCCATTTCCATCCCTCCTCCTCCTCCTCCTCCTCCTCCTCCTCTTCCTCCTCCTCCTCCTCCTCCTCCTCCTCCTCCTCCTCCTCCTCCTCTCCTGCTCCTCCCACATTCGCGCAGTTTTTTTCTCTGGGCGGGTTGGGGTCGCCACCGTCCGTCGCGGAGGGCGGGGCGCTCGGCAGAAAAAGGCGTGCGCAGATCAGCCCCTTCGCACGTCACCGGGCAGGAGACGCTTGTGGAGCTGGGGTGCGCCGGGGCGCACGGCACGAACCGGTGCACACTTCCACGCCACCCTGGCCAAGCACGGCTCCCGTTTTTTGTTGTTTGTTTTTCTTTCTTCGAACACGGGAATTGAAACATTAGAGGAGCTATGAGCCATGATGGTGATACGGTCCAAGATCCCCTTGCTTCTCGGCTGTACCGCGCGGGCTCCATAGACGACGGCCGCTGGAACATTGTGGAGATCCTGGAACGCATTCCGAACCACCCGCGTCATGGCATGTCTCTCGTCTCCAAAAAGGGGCGTGAATGTAAGATACACACCTTTCGAACAAAAGGCTGTTCGGATTTCGTGTGTGGCCTCTAACCGCGGACGGCGTTTCATGCTGCGCGCCGCCCCCCCTCAAAACTCTCGGCTGGCAATGATCGTCCTCCCCCTCGTCGGCCCTCCCATCCTCGCCCTCCTGCTCGCCTTCCCTTCGCGGCTGCCCGCCCTTCGCACCTCCGAGCAGCATCCCCGACGCCGCCCCGTGGGGGACGGGGCCGTGGGCTGTGCGTGGGGGGGGGAGGGGGCAGGCCTGCCGCCGCCCAGACTCCCATGCGGACCCCCGAAGGTTTTAGTTCACGCTTCAGGGGGGAGTCGAAAACACAACGACACAAAGATGTGTGGATTTCCTGGAACATATGTTGAACATATCTTGAACATGTGGGGGAGTGGAGGGGGAGACGAACATCCTGGAGATATGGCAGATATGGGGGATCTTGAGTTCTGGGTGTATTGTTTTGTGTGCCACGGGGCCCCATCAGTCTCCAGTGGCCGCCGGCCGTCTCCTCTTGCTCTTGGTCGGGGCGGGCGCGAGTATCGCCCTCGAGGACCTCGATGGAGCTGCCACCTTGTTTTCGACAGGATGCGGAGGAAGGGCCCTTGGAAGGCGGCGGGGGTACAACGAGGGCGGCGGGGCCTGCGGAAGCCCGCGGCAGGCCTGCGGAAGCGGCGACCCCCCCCCGTGAGGATCCTTAAGGGCGGGTTCTTGGGACTGAATTTGGGCAGCGCTAAAGCGTGGGGGCCTGAGCGCCTCTCCTCACACGAGGGGGGCAGAGGGCCGCCCCTGCACAGAGCCACCCCTGCAGAGGTCGAGGTGTGCGGAGGCAGGGTCGAGGCACAGCTGCCTCGCCACCCTCGCGGCCGCACCCCCTCAGGGCACCGACCGATGTTATGTGTCGCGCCGCTCGGCTTCGCACGCCAGATGTGCGGCCCCCGCAGCAGTCCCTAGTTCTCGGGAGTAGCG